ATTATTCTTCAGAGAACTATTGATGAAACAGCAGATAAACTCTCGTTACTGGTAGTATTGAATGATGTTGATGATGATGCAAAACAACTATCGTTGCAGTCTTCTTCTTCTTCTTCGGTATTAGTTGAGTAAGAATAACTTGTTGGTGATTCTACTCTATAGTCATCAAGGCAATTTTCTTCAGTTGATATTGTTGATGATGAATAATTCCAACTCTCTGATGATGATAAATAGGAGATTGGTTGTAGATGAGCTGATGATGATTGAAATTCTTCCATGCTGCCTATATTACTGCTATTGTTAATGCTTCCATCCTTATCAGTGAAGGGAATGATTCGGGTCTTATTAATAGCACGAGTGGTACGACACTGATCATTATTCTCTTCCTGATGATGATGATAATGGTAATTAAATTCTTGATGATGAGCATCAGCAAAAGTTTCCGAGCTGTTACTATTAAAATTAATAATATTCGAAAGGGAGTAGTACTCTTGATGAGAGTGGTCGATATTTGACCAGTTTTTGGCTGGTGATGAATCCACTGATGTTATTTCTGGATAATTATGCATTTGAAAATCACCGAGAGTGATAAAGGCATGAATGGACATTTCAGAAGTGTCGCTGGATTATTTAACTCTTTACTGAAAGGGTTGTTTTGCTATTTCAAATTAGTCCAAGACTACAGTAATAATAAATTGTAGTAAAGGTAATTAAATTAATTAATAGAAGAAGGTTAAATATTGAGATGAAGAAGAATGCAGAAGATTTTGTTAGTGACAGTTGAGTTATTATTTTTGTCAGGAAGATCCTCTTCAATGGAAGTCCTGCATTTGATATTTGAGATCATACCATTGTTCCCAACTTCCTAGATAATGAAATAGAGTCACAGAGATATGAACTAACTTGGTTTATTGTCGAACATCATTGATTGTTACCACAAGGCATCAGCGTTTGGATCTTCATTTGTAACTTTCTTCGTTCCATCTGTTTTGATAAATCTAAAGGTGAGACTCACTCTTCTGTAATTTTCATCCCTTATTAATGTTTCACCAGTGCTTGGGACGTAGACTTGTTTCATATGGGTAATTCCATGTTTCCATTTGAATCTGGAATCGTCTTTCATTACAAATAAACTTCTTGGTTCGAGTAGAATCTTAGTTTGAATATTCTCATTGGATGCCAATTTCAGAACCATGTAAATTGGTTTGTTGAGTGAAACCAGTGTGATGATATCTCCAAACGGACCAGGATTATCAACATGACTACTAATTCCCTGTGTTCCAATATATTCATTCACAAGACATTGTGTTGGATTTCCATAATCAGTCTTGTACAGTCCATCCCGTTCCACAAGTCTTTCAATAAGCCAATCAAATTCCTTCAAATCCAAATGTTGATAATTGGAAGAGCTCTCATTAACTGGTTGCATTGTTGGAAGATTATGTCTTGTATGATAATAGGTATAGCCATACATTTGTGTTCTTCTACAAATTTCATGGCACCATGCCTTAGAGTCAATTAATTTCATAATTCTCTCCTCTTCCTCTTCGGAAATGTAGTTTTTAATGTAGATTGCTCCAGGAACAACAACATTTGGATTGGTAGAAAATAATTCCTTACATCCTGTTAGGGAGTTGTATTCAACCATGTGTGGCTCAACTGTTGTGCTAATACTATTTGATGGAGTTGAAGAAGTGCTCATTGATGATGAATCATCACCTCCACAACAACACTTTTCTGTGGATGATAAAGTACTTTCGGTTGTTGCCATTTTTTTTCCTATTCGGGTAATTTTTAAACCACATGCTAAAGCTTTAATTTTGAGGAAGGTGCATTTTCAAAATACTTTGAAGATAAATTGAGAATGAAAAAATTGTGTTATTTCATATTATTTTAGTACACTTTGGTATTTATTTGTTTCCTTCACAAAGGTAACAATTATGAAATGAGTTGGTTGAAATGGAGGTATATTCATCAAAACCTCTCAATTCTTCTGCTATTCTAATTTCCTCTTCTCAGATTGACCAATAAATGACCTCTATCAAAAAAAAGTTAGAGTTTGAATTAATTACGCGTCTTGGTTTTAGGAAAGAAGAACTGAAAGGACATTTTTCCACAAATGCCTTAATATTACTGTGAAATGAAGCAGACTTGGCCGAGTGGTTAAGGCGACAGACTTGAAATCTGTTGGGGAAACCTTCGTAGGTTCGAATCCTGCAGTCTGCGTCTGAAATTTTGATTTTATGATATTCTTTCAATGGTTATGTTTTCATATCCCGATCCTGCAGTCTGTGTATGAATCTTTTGATTGAGAAGTACTTATTTTTCTTAATATGTTGGACTTTAAATGGTAGGGAGGATTCACCCAATAAAGGACATTGAGAATTGTTTTTTGGCAAGAAACAAACAACTGGTAAGTAGGTCTAATGCAAATAGAATTTTTGCTTATGTTGCAAGAATATTCCTGAACGAATCCCTTAATACATACACAGAGGGGAGAAGCGGTCTTGACCGAGTGGTTAAGGTGATTGACTAGAAATCAATTGGGGCGACCCGCACAGGTTCGAATCCTGTAGACCGCGAATATTTTTAGGTAAAAGGAGGACAAGGTCTGATATTCCAGAACAAGTTAGTTGATTTTATGTTAAAACTCAAATAATACAACGACAGGAAGGTGATCTGAAATACCAGAAGCATCGGAATCAATCCATGATTGTTTGAGATATGGCTCCAATTCAGTATTACTAATGACATAGTCAATTCGAGTGTCGAGTCTTGAAGAACCAGTTCCTTTCTCTCCCTCAAATATGATATCTGGATTTAAAACTTTCCAACAATCCACGAGT